AAGAGGCTGCCCACCTGAGCACAAACCACTGAAAAGGCCCTAGGAGGTGCTGAATCCCGCTGCGATCTGATCCTTTTCTCTGACCTCTACAACTGGCTCATCACAGCAGAAGTCACTGGCGAGTAGAGGAGAAACTCCGCAGAAAACATAGTGTAGAGGCAAATTTGCAAGATGCACAGAAAAGTGAAAACTATAGGCCAGGTGGGAAGCCTCAGCCACTGACATCATCCCAAAGAAAAGCAGATCAAGAGATCAGGCTTTGATCAAGAAAACAGAGCTGAGACAAGTGGGACCAAAATCACAATTTCACTTTCTGGAGTTATATCTAGAGAGTCGGGGGGAACACAATGGGAAGAGAAAACAATTACTCAGCATCAAATAGGGCCGCTCTTCACTTTTAGTGCCACTCTTTGCTTTTACTTTTCTTAAAATAAATAAATAAATAAAGATCCAGAGCCAGTCCATAGGACTAAGGGAAAGAAACAGATAAGGAAGAGTTGCGTGTTTCCGCAATGAATCAAGGACAGGAAAGAGATGTAGGAAATTCCGATGTGTGTGAATTGAGTCTTTTCAACTCAGCAACAAAATGCATTCAAATATATGTCTCAGTTTTCAACTGCTTCATCTTCATCCCTTTCTAAGAAACTCCAGGGGCCAAGGTAGGGGGCCAGGAAATTCTGCGTCCAGCAAGACTTCTGGCCGTCTAGACAGATGTGAAGGCTGTTTACACCACTCTAAAAGGTATCTCATTCATCCAAGTATTCTCAGAGAAACCTTTTCAGACACAAATGAGCTCACCACTTTTCATCACGGAGTCACATTTTTATTTTTATTTTTGAGGCCTTCTCTCCCATTCCAGCTTGTCCTTCTCCTTCGAAGAGTCACAGCTCTTCGCGTGTGACATCATAACGTGTCGCTGTGAAAATCAGTTTAAAATTACAAGCACTAAAAAGCACTAAATTGTAACTTTTTTGCATGGTAAAGGATCACACAGAGGGGAACTGCGGCTTAAGCAACAATCTTCTATAATCAGTGAAAATAACAAAGGAAATATTCATAATTACATCAAAGAATCCTTAGCTGAGGATTGGTATTATTTGCTTCCTGCAAGAGCACACAGCTCCCTAAAAAGGCAGCACTATTTTAAGCATATGGAGATAAATAAAAAAAGAGCTATCGAGCGAATCCAACTTCAAACTGAATCCTGAAGAACACTCGGAAATGCAGAAGAGGTTATCTAAGCAAACTGATTATAGGCCAGTCATCAGCCCTCTACGAGATATGCAGAGCAGATATGTCTGTTGTATGCAAACATCTTTGCAGACAAACATGACACCCAGCCCACTGTAGTATATCCTGGGTGTCTATCTCTGCATATAGGAGACCGAGTCCAGGGATTAATTTCATCCACCAACATAAGACTAATTTTGTGAAGCAGGGATAGCTAAAAATAGCCAAGAGTAATGTTATGCAATAAAACCTGGTATATGTCTCCCCTTTCCAGAACAGGGAAGCCTATGTAGCTTCAAATTAAAAAAAGGCAGCAGTTTGACCAAAACACAAAATACATTCCTCTCATTCTCTTCCAAAGAGAACGGACTTTGAATCTCCAGTACGTTAAAGATGCATGCCTGAATATACCTGCTTATCATATCACCTCAATGATTTAAATAGTCAATGACCATCAAAAATTCACAACTCTTCTGCCCTCCCTGGAAAAAAAAAAATAGGTCAAAAAAACAAATGGAATCCAACTGTCTTCTGCTCCTTTTTATGCATTTCAGGGAGGAAAACCGAGGGAGATAAATCTGCATAATACTGAACCGAATCTCTTTAATTCCAGTCAGCTTTTATCATTCAATCACTCAGTCTGTATGTGGAAAAATTCATGCTAATTCCCCCTAGCAACAGCCTCAGCCTATCAGGACAACCCATGCACCATGCAGCTGCCAGCCAGCAAGAATAACTCTAAGTAGGTCAGGCCTGCATTTCTAAAAATGCCACGGTCTAGTAACCCCACTGTCCCGTCTGTCTGCCCTGCCCCATAATAACCTCAATTGCTCGGTGACACAATGACATACTACCCTGTTAGAGCGCAATCAAATCACGCCGCATTATGCCGCTGCGAGCGGCGCTGCTGGAGGAAGGAGCCTTCGAGGGGCAGCATTAATCAGGCAGCCATTCATGTCCACTAGCACTTCACTCTGGAGATGGGGCCTGCATTAATGACCAGCTGTTTGAACTAACACAAACAAAATAATGTCTTCCACCCCGTCGGGTGCCCAGAATACTCTATTCTAATCAGGCAGGTTCTGCTCATTGACTAAGCCTAAGATGTAAATTAAACAGCCCCAGACAATGCCAGCTTTTGTAACCTTCTATTAATTAAAGTAAGTATATTCAAATTATACTACACGCAATTCAAAGAGCTATTGGTTTAATATACAGAGTCATCTCCTCCTACAAATTTGTGTTCACAGTCCAAAAAAAAAAAAAAGAAGGGAAAAAAAGAAAGAAATCACCCACCACTGTTTGCATAGCGCAATCTACCTATCTGGGTAAATTAAAGAGCGGCATAAACAGAGCTGAACTGCGACTGACTTCTGCTGGGAGCAGGGACACACGCCAGGCTTCTAGCAACCGTGCAGCCTGAACACAAACAGAAATGTAAACTGAATATTGTGAAGGGGTTTTGATACAAGCCGTGTAAACATTTTCCAGCAACAACACGGAGAAAGGCCAATCAGGGCAGATTAAGCACCCCCTGCAATCTCACTGCTTAGCTGCTGCTGAGCCGCCAGCGTAGACCTGAAAATAACCGTAGAGGTCAGGAAGCTCCTAGCACGGTCTGGCCATGGCCCTTTAAGAACACATAGCCTCACGCTGCACTATTCCCAAAGCCGCATTGGGGACTGCTCTTTGGCTTCAAGATGTTGCACTAAGCCTCCCCCGCACCCCCCCTCGCCCCCCGACACTCTTAAAAAGAGAAGCCTTAATATAAACCGCACCAGACCACAGTAAGTCTTCTCCGGGGTGGCATTTCAGTATCAAATCTGTAACGCCAGGACAGAACTGCAGCTTGCTTTCCTGGCGCTTAATGACACCCTGCCTTTCAAACACCTCCCTGGGGCTGGCCGTTCCTTTCCTCGGGAGCACGCCCCAGCTCGCGCAGCCGCCTCGCCAGGACAGAGCCGGCGGCAGAGCCATTTTCGAGGGTGAACAGCTCGTCTGCATTTTTCTGAAGGATTCACACTTTCGCTTGGTGAATACGCGCCCTCCGCCAAACTGATAAATCCAGTCTTTGCTTCTGCAGAATGCAGCCAGCCTTCTGCCTGTAATCCATCCCCACCTGATTTATGAACACAGCAGATTCATTAAGCCATTTTGCTCTTGCTTGTTTTGAAGCAGGCTTTATAACCAGGTTATGACTATCTTCCTTTACTTTGTGGCACACATCACACAGCTATTCTTGGAGAGATACAGTCACTGACGTAACCATGGGCTGCTAATTACAAGCTGCTGACATTTTGCTTGTCTCTGCAGCTTTGAAGCTATGAGCTAAGAGTCCCTCTTCCTCCGGGTTTGTTTTAGCGTGCCCGAGTTAGAAGCACAGCAGTTTCAGACAGGTACAGGAGCGGTATAAACTCCTCTGCAGAGCGCAGTGCATTGCCAAGGTTATTTTTCTTTAAACAAACAGAAAACTACAGTTTGGGAGTAATAAGACTCCTTTGCCCCCAGCACAAGAATGTTATCCAACAGCTGGCTAAATATAATCCAGCACACAGGGCTGCCTTTGTAGAAGGGTAACAAATAGTGGAAGGGCCAGACAGGCGTCTTGCAGGGCAGCTCACCATGACTATTGGGAAATCCCCTCATACAACTTTTAGGATGACATTATGGTCTACGGATTTGTACAAAAGGAAAAAAGGAGAAAAGAAACCTCACTCTCAATAGACAGCTGCTAAAAGCCATGCCAAGCCCCACTAGCTGAGCGCGGCACTTGTTTCCCCTAACATCATTTTGCACATTGTCCCGATATGGCCAACCTGAGCTGTCTACCATGCTAAATACGCCTGTATTTTGACAAGTCTACCTGTTCTAAAATACATAGTCTCCCCAGTGCCTGTCCCGAAATAAAAAAATACCAATTTCAGAGAAATTCACCACCAAACGCAAGTGTTATTCTTTTCAACAGACCAAGAATCCTTTCCAATTACAAGCTGATTTTGAATTTCTAAAAAAATGTAAATATAAATGCTCAGTTGAGCATTTAGCCATCTGACGACTGTGGTAGCCAGCTGGTCTAGAAGTCATCTGGGATACATTTATTTAGATTAGATTGATCACATTTCCATTTACAGTATAGAATTTTTTCACCATACTGAATACAGCTGTGTTTATAAAGATTTTAAGATGGAGAAAACGAAACCCCTACAGTTTCTCTCAGCACAGTGCAGAAGATTCAGTGCTTCAAGGTGTTAAATGGAAAGGATCTGCTTTCATGTTTCTTAAAAGAATTCTGCCTGCATCTGTTTTCACAAAGTGCTGCCTTTTAGTCAGGAAATGGGTGTAGAGCTATAGCTGAAAATATAAGCTGCAATCAAGTCTGATCCAGCAAAGTGACAAACGTCCTCTGTAAATTGGTCAGAAATGTCTTTTTTTCATGTCTATACATGCTCGCACATACACACACACACACACACACACACACACGCATATATATATATACACACTGCATGAAAACTGTTTTCCCTGGGGATACCGGTGCAGTCACCTCGCTCATCAGTTCTCTCCTTGACAGCATCAGGAGTGTTCAAGCTACAACGTACAGTCCCTCCGTCCATACATTGTTTTGTAAATTATGCCATCCTCTCTACAATGAGAACGCACAGAATCAGACAAACAGCATATAGCGTTTCTTCTTCCTTTTCATCTGTGCTCGCTCTCTCTCTCTCTCTTCTTCTCATGCCTTTGCCTTAACAGGCAGACACAACCGATACCTTATTTATCCATCTCCAGCACAACGCTGAGGTGAAACCCGACTGCAGCACGGTGGCTTTCCCATGTTAATCCTTTGGAGCAGCAGAGGCTGGATTCTTGCTGCTGATACCCTTGTTGAGCACTGGATTATTTTACATAATATTTCTTTAAGCTTTCACCCACCCCATCCTAGATTAACCTCCCTTCTCCTCCCCCCCCCAAAAAAAAAACCCTCCAAAGCACCACATATCACAACCCTTTGCTTCCAGAACCAACAGAAAAAAACGCAGCTCCATCGCTCTTCTTCCTTAGCAATATGCAGACGAGTGCGTCTCGAGTCAGATAAGCCTGGGTGAAGCGCAGGCAGTGAGACTGCAGCAGCCCCAGCAGCAGCAGAAACAGCAGCAGCCGCCCAGGTAAATGGGGGGAAAAGCAGGCTACGTTGAGAGCGGTGCAGCATCGTAGCTGTAAGGAAAGACAGTCTCGCTTCTTCCAAATAGCGCAGCTTTATGCCTGCAGGAACGGAGAAAAGGGAAGACCCAGAATTAAAAATAAAAGCCAAAGCAGTTGAGAAGAAATAATAATTACAATAAATGAATGTAACTTTATTTTTCTGGGCTCGTGGGGTTTTCAAGGGGGGGTGACTTTTTCCCCCCCTCCCCAAAGTCTCCTATGTTGCTGAATGTTACTGTCCAAGAGTGCGGAGTCACAAAGGCTCACTCTCCAAAGCGCAGCGAGACCAGCATCACATGAGAAACCACATGACGCACCCAAATCGGATGCTGATGCGGTCCACTATTTCACTCGGGGGGGAAAAAATCTCGACCGAAACATGCCCCTGTCCAGCTGTTAGAAAAAATTTCCCTTAAAAAAAAAGGCCAAAAAATAAATATCTCCCTTTCTATCTGTCTTCAACATCAATACTTCAGGAGAAAGGAGAATGCTGTTCCACAGACACTAGCTGGATGGCAGCAATATTACTTCCAGGCTATGTTATTCAAAGCTGATTCCACTTAAGTGAATTCCTGAAAAGCATACTCCATGTCTTCATAACATGAACAGGCTCAGAAAACCAATTCCATTATCGTTCCCTGCAATCTGTATCCAAACCTGTGTTCTGAATAATTTATTTGAAACTAATAAGCTGTTTGCCAAGACCACTCCTTTTCCCACTTAGCCCCATGCTCAAGATTGACTAACGTGAGGAAACACTGCACAGAAACAGAGGGGCATTCATCGTTTTCATAACTGGTAATTTTACTAAACACCCTGTCCCACAAAATAATCGGGAAAAAATGAGCAAAAGGTTTTTTCCTCATTTACTGGATGTGACAGGGCTCTGTCTGGTTTGCAACCAGGCATACTGTGTTTGCGGATGGTGGCAATGTTTTTCCTAACGTTGCTGCCTCAAAAAGCTTTCAATCCAAGTCAAGAAGCAAACGCTCTTGCCTGCCAATTCCTGCAGAGGTATTGTGCCACACTGTTTAACGTACTAACATCTGGAGACCCCCAGCAGCCCCCAAGTAAGAGCGTGCAACTCCACAATGCTCTTCATGGTCAGGGCACCAAGCAGTTAACGTCCTTGGCTGTTTTACCATCTTGCCTGTAGGAGCATGGAACCGAGGGACTGGTTAGCTTGAGAAACAAAAAAAGCTGACCTTGACGATCGATGGAAAAGCTGCGGCATAAAGTTATCATCCAACAAACACCGTTAGCAGTTTGTAGCTTGTTTTACTCCTAACATTTGTTCAAGTGACAGAGCAGGTGGCACAGAGTCCTCCATCCCCTTTGTTTGCAAAAGCCGGGCACCACCTCGCAATGCTGCGCTCCCTGGCTCTTTATACTGAAACTGTACGCAGCGTCGAGAAAACGTAAAAAGATAGCTGCTGTGAATCTGCACAGCTGTTTTCCACAGGGTCCCACTGCAAGCTTCGGAGTTTATATGATGGATCTCAAACACAGAATTCCCCTGAAGAAAGATATGCCTAGCATTCAGGCGGGAAAGCGCAATAGGAGCAAAAACAGAGTGCTCTTTTGTGTCGATTTCAACCTTCCCAACTGTTCACGCAATAGCAGATTGCAAAAATTTGCACAAGGCAGTTCAAGCTTGTTCTCATTGGCTCCTGCCAAAAAGGGGTTTTTCAATGGGCTGCACCTAGGAGTTGCCTAAATTCCACGTAAAATCCAGTTGTAGCATTCACCCTTAGTGTGAAGCTAGTGTTCAAGAGAGCCCCAGGACTATATTCTCGTACACAGATATCACAAGACCACTGAAGTCATCCAGGAGCATTTTCACATGTGATGTAACAATTTCACCACTGTCAAAGTCTTTGTTGGAAAATGGTACCAGTACACCCAAACTCAAACAGTAGGTAATGGATACAATACTGTATTTTCAGGCAGAGTATCAGCTAATCTGGAGAATAAAGGCTTCAGGTGTCTTTTTCTCAGCCCAAAAGATGAGCGTTACTGAGCCAGAGACTCAGCACAATAAATTAAGCGTTTCCCACTTGCAAGCAGTAGATCATTTATCTGTTCTGACTTGGAAACACAGATATGTTGGTTGGAGGGGACCTCTGGAGGTCACCTAGCCCAAATTCCCCCTTGAAGCAGGGCTATCACCAACATTACGTCAGGTCAGCTGTGGCTTGGTCTGCCTGAGCCCACAAAGCCCCAACGACTGAGGTTCCAGAAAGACTCTGGGTAACTTTCCAGTGCTGCACCACCCTCCTGGGGGGAATAAACGTGCAGATATTTCTTCTTTCTCTATTTCTTATGCACACAACCTTCAATGCTCTGCTAGTGGGAAATATTGAATTGCATTCTTTCATAGATCCAACATTGAAGTAATAAGAGAAGAAGTGAAGGAGTCAAGGAATGTGGAGACTTTTCATTTCTTGCTCATGTAAACACATCTAGCTCAAATCAGTTGCATCTCCTAATTACCACAATTTGATGACTGTTTTAGATATCTAAGTGACTCGTTGCTTTCAGCTCAACGATTAGCCTACCCACTAAAATATCAACAAACACCTTGATAATACTTCCAGTGTTTTGTTATATGTGTTAGTCATGTCAGGAGAAAAAACATGGACCAGCTGCGCACAAAACCTTAACTACTCTTATTAGAGAGTCCCTGCAAGCCAGGCTTAAGGCTGAACCACCATGGTTTCTGGCGGATGCTGGTTCATTCAGAATACACAATACAGAACACATTTTTCAGACAGACCTGAAAAGTGTGCCTTACGATATTTATAAGCGTATCCACATGCTTGTGAAAAACCTCATATTCTGGTATATGATGCAAGTTAAGTATGACCCAGTGACACACAGACAATAGATGCTAATGAAGTTTTAAGGGGGTGGGGGGAAAGTAAAGAATTACAAACTGAAAAACCAGTCATCATTTCTTCAGAAATGTAAGACTTCGATGAAGAAAATCTCCTTATGGGAGACACCTCTAGGCATGCAGAGCTGAAAAATCTAATTCCTACACTGAGGTTCCTTCAGACAATCTCCCCATTAAATTATTTGATAATAGCATGGGCAACTAGCCCTCCTTTCTGCCCCAAATCTCTAACATAGGTACTTCGCTCTTTTATGAGGGGCTAACTAATTCATAACCAGATTCTAAAGTTACATGTCTAAAATGACTTCTTTCGGGCCTGCAGCTGACTTGCACAGTATGATTTCTCCCCCTCTGTACGACGAATGGAGTAGGAAGTTGTCCACACAGAATAGTGGAGGATTCAGGCAGGATTTTCTTGGTGCCATCATTACTGCCTGACTTCAGACAAGAGCTTTTTATTTGGAAGATACAGAAAGAAGCTGGCTTATTTTGGATGCTGCCTTCACATAGGTCATAGAGATTTTTCCATCACCCATTTGGCATTTGAGGATCTGTCTTGAGACATTTGATCATAAATCCTGCTCTGTATTAGAGCAGTGTTATGCTAGTTTGGTGATACACCAGCTACCTCAGAACTGATGCAACTGTCCACAAGAGGACAAGCTTTGGAGCAAGAATTAGCAGATTAACATCACGAATTAAACCAACATACCGATAGCCCAAAACGAGCACTGTTCAGCAGCTGCTTAAAGGCAACTGAACTGTGTGGAATACTTTTCAGGTGCTTTTCAACTGGTGCTTTTCAACTCAATATACTTCACTGTATGGCTAATTACCCACTTGGTACAGTATTCCAGTGCAACACAGACCCCTATGGGTCTATGATGCATTGAACATCACTGAAAATGAATCTTGGGATCCCACGTCAGGAAGAGGTTGCACTGTTACACAGAACAAGACCTACGTTCCTTTTAGTATCAGCCAAGTGTTAGGACTTACAAGAAGGAAACTACCTGAATGGCTTTACAGCACTGGCCTTTCCTTTTGGGACTTGCTTCCTGAAGTCAAAGGAAGGGGAACTTCACGTTGGTTAAGCCTAGCACTGGCAGTATGTAGACTGAAGAGAGGTAACGGGACTTAAAACAAGAACTTGGCCAATGGTTTAATATAAATGTAACCTTCTGCTTATTGCAGTCAACGACTGCCACCACTGTGCAGGACTAAACAGTGCCACCCAGAAAGCAGGAGCTGGAAAATAAACAATACTAGAAACTTAGAGAAATGCTATAGTCTCAGGTGTGGCAGAATATCACCAATAAGCCTGCGTGTACCAGTAAAAATTTAAAGTTGCTAATTTTGACAGAAACATACAATTGCTACATTCTGCAAGGAAAGGTCTGTTTGAATGCTTGGTATTTCTCAGCAACTGTCAGGGTTTGGGGTTTGTTTTTCAGTGACCTTTCCCTTCAGAATCTGCTGATAAAGAAAGCATTATCATTAAGCTTGAGGTTTCAACCCAAAAGCTAGGCAAAACTTGACGTTTCGTTGAACCTGAAACCTCAAAGCGAACCTCAGGCGTGCAAAACCTTATGGACTGAAACCAAAACAAACATTTGTCTGCCCCACGTGAACAAAAACCGCAGAGCTGCACATGGGTCTAAGTAGCGAGCCATGCTGGCTATTGGCCAAGACATGAAGTACCCTACTCTTTGCGCGAAATACCAGTGTATGTTTAGTGACCGCAGGGTATGTCTAGACACACACTGCCCTAGCTTAGAGATGCTCAGGTCAACTTCAACTGGGAGCTCAAGTCCCAAAAGCAGTGTCTCTACAGTATGCAGAGCTCTTTGGTAGGGTAAAAAATCCCACATGGAGTTTTAGGCAACCACAGCCAGACTACTTTGGTATTCACGGGCTTCTCCAGAGCTAGCTTCTGATACCTCTATGCTGTCTCAGTTAAAAGATATGCTTTGGTTGTCCATTCAGCTAGAAAATAGCCATGATTCTATCTTTTGGTAATTTTCAGTAGAACATACTAGATGAGTAAGAAATGAGAGAAGCCGATAGCGAATTTTGTCTCTTGTAATCCTCAATAAACAGATCAATTTATTTGAATCCACTGATTATTCAATATTGTTCTTTGAAAAAATTCCCATACTAATTC